CCCCCCCCCCCCCCCCTCCCAAACCCCCAAGCAACATAGAAGAAGAGTTAGAATAAAGATTATAATAATATACATCAGTAGGCCTAACATATAGGATGTTCGTGCATGACTTAACTAACTACAGGATCCATAAACCCTGAACAAGTATGACAATCCACTCTATCGGAGAGTCATTTCAATCAAATACAAGCCAGTATAGTAAAAAGATCTACAGACACGATCTCCCCACCCATCGCTTATAATTATTACTAGATCTAGATCTATTATTTATTGGGAATATCGTTACGGTATATTATTTGACCTACCTCAGCAGGTCGACGTTTCTGCGTGTAACTCCGCCTTGTCGATCCAGGCAGGAGTTGATCTATAATATAACACTGAAACTCAAACACGATCCCAAAGCAGCAAACACATGCACATCAGTAAGAATAGGTAAGTGAAATGTATCCACTGAGAAGACTTGTGTCAGATTAAATTTCTGCTCTACACAATGCAGAGGCATTTGACGTGTATGTGGCTATGATTAGTCCAGAGTAGAGGCCAGAGATTTAAAACTGGACCTTAGCTCGCGCTGCGACTTTGTTGTTGTCGTTCCTTCTCCTCTCGGGGGCAGCAGAACTCAACGTATGCGATATGTAGTTTGTTCCGAAAGCGAGCGCCTCGATTTCGTTCTGCTAAGCGTTACCCGTCTTGTGACTAGGCTATGAGAGAGATGACGCATACAATTACTTGTTCAGGAACAAGAAACACAAGAAAACAAACTTGTCACTTTTGACTCCTCTAAATTGTAATAGCTGCAAACTTTAGAGTGGGGGCTCTCGTGGTCGAGAGGTTACGGTGTTCACCACTCATTCAATTATACGTCACGGGTTCGAATCCAGATAACGACGGAACATTTTCTTCTCTAAAATGCCTCATTTCTCCTGCTTTCATGCTCTCTAACAATGTTCTGTCGTCTGCTTTCGTCTCTACTTTCCGCCCCCACTCCCTCACCTCCTTTGCCCCCTCCTCCGGGCTCCTGAATCTTTCTGCAGCCTTTCTACAGCTACTCTTCGGCTTCTTCCTACTGTTATCTTTCAGACACATCCCTGGTCTTAGGGTAGGAAAGATCTAACACCTAGCCTTCGATAAGGGTGAAAAATCTCGGAGGGTCCGTGTACAAGCTGCGCACGTTAAAGATCCCTTAGTGGACCAAAATCGATTAGAGTAGGCCTCGGCCGCCACCTGAGCAAAATTCAGAATTTCCTATCAACGGAAAAAGTTTAATGTGTCCCCTGCACTCATGACCGTATGCAGTTGCGAGCGCCGTAAAACACTTACAATAACTTAAGAGTAACCCTAATTGCAGCCAAGATCCTGAAAATATGGCAACGGGACACGTTCTGGGTACATATTCTTGTAAATATCAAGCAGACATGTCAACTGATTGTTAGGTTATGAGTGATCAATTTGACCAACCTTGTCTTTTGGCTTATTTTGAGCAAAATTACAACTTTGTCTTGAGGGGTATAACCCCACCACCTCGCACATACACTCACAAAAAGAGACACATACTCTCTTTCTCCCTCCCTCCTCCCTCCCCCCCCCCCCCCCCCCCCCCCCCCCCCCCCCCCTCTCTCTCTCCCTCTCCCTCGACCACCCTTTCCCTCTCTCAGTATTCAAAGCCTCTAAATTAGGTCATACAACCTATCTTGCAGATAAAACCGACCTCACCTGTGTGTGCGTCTGAGATCTATCTAGGCACAACTTGCAGCACGCAAGGCTTCCACTTGGAGAGAGAGAGAGAGAGCAATGAGGCGAGCTACAAACAAGTCAACGAGTTAGAAATGTAAAGAAAAGAAAGTTACCTTGGTGGGTTTCTATGTCGTTAAATTTCCCTTTCTCTATCACATTCTGTCTATTCACTTCTCTTATCACACTACCCTGTCATTTTCGTTTCTAGTTATTGTTTTTCTCTTTCCGTCCCTCGTTCACTTTCTTTCTTTTTCCAGTATCCTTTACGAACTCGAAAACAGGGATTGCTTATTCGCAACCACTCAACCAGAAAAGAGTAATGTGCACTACTGGTAACCCCTACGCACGGGGGGAAAAGAACGAACAGTATAGACTGCTAATCTAAATTCTAAAAAGCAAACAGATCTAGGCCTACGTGAATTTCTGAAAATAGTGCAACCAACTTTTTAAGAGATAAGGCAGTATTGCAATAGAGACTCGTGCTCGATTAGTGGATTAAGTAAGTGCTTCCACTTTGGAAATGAAACGGTTTTCTAGGACAGTAAGTTTATCTTATACATTTATTTGTCCTCGTTTGTTTAGTTTGGAGACCTTTTTCAAATGACCGGGAGGGGGGTGGGGGTGTCCTCAGGTACTTGGGTTTATTATCAAAGGCGTGTTTCACCGTACAATACACCCACGTCGGTATTCCAGCGGGAGGTGCAACGCCCTACTAAAAGTGAACGTTTGATAGTACGCTAGCCACTCTCTCTCTCTCTCTCTCTCT